TTGGGTGGTCTGCCTTTGTGTGCTTGTTTTTTTCCGGGGGGGGGGGGGATAAATATAGGTGTGCAATGTGCAAGTGTGGAGGTCAGTAGTGACTAACTTTGTGGAGTTGGTTCTTTCCTTCTACCTTGTTCCAGGGATGGAACTCAGGTCACCAGCTTTCCAGCAAGGAGATTTACCTGCTGAGAACTTCAGCGGAACCTTCCTTATACTCTTTTGAGCCTCAATTCCCTTACTTTGCAACACTCAAAACCCTAGCACACAGAAAATACAAAATAAGTTATTATGACTTACTTTGGTAAAGAGACTCACTTGAATGGTTCAGGACACTGACTTCTCCCTACAAAAACAGTAACCCAGCTGGGCATGGTAGCACACACCTTTAATCCCAGCACTCAGGAGGCAGAGGTAGGTGGGTATCTGTGAATTCAAGGTCAGCCTGGTCTACATAGTGAGTTTCAGGCCAGCTGGGGCTACAGGGAGACCCTATCTCAAAAAGACCAAGCCAAATCAAACAAAACAGCAACCCAAGCACAATTATTAGCAGAGTTCAAGTGCAATAGGTACTACACTGATTCAAGAGCTGAACTCCTGTTTATCACAAAGCTTCCATTAAAACAACTACTCATGGGGCTGGAGATATAGCTCAGTGGTTAAGAGCACTGACTGCTCTTACAGAGGACCTGGGTTCGATTCCCAGAACCCACATGGCAGCTACGAACCATCCTTAACTCCAGTAATCTGAAGCTCTCTTCTGACCTCTGTGGCATTGCACAACATGGGTGTACTCACAATACATGCAGGCAATATACTCATACGCATAAAATAAAAATAATAAATATTTTTTTAAAAACTACTCATAAGTACACTCTGAGAAAGGTGTTTTTCTCAATAAACATCTACTTTGCAGGGCTGAAGAGACGGCTCAGTGGTTAAGGGCACTGGTTGCTCTTGCACAGGACCTGGGTTCACTTCCCAATACTCACATGGTGGCTAACAACCATCCATACCTCCAGTTCTAGGGGAATCTGATGCCCTCTTCTGGCCTCTGCAGGCACTTACATGCATGTGGTACACTTACATATACTTGTAAACATTTTAAGTCTACTTTGTACTTTCAATTTGTGTTTTTGTATGCATTTGGGTTATTTCCTTAGTGTGATTAAAAAGGACAGAAATAGAATCTTGTGGTTAATTCATGATAAAGACCCTAGTAAAGCTGGGCATGTAGCTTAGTTGGTAAGTACTTGCCTAACATGTTCAAAGTCCTGGGTCCAACTAGGTAAACTGACTGTAGTGGTATATGCCTATAATTCCAGCACTACAGAGGTACAGGTAGGACAATCAGGTGTTCAAGACCAATCTCAGTTGCACAGCAGGTTTGAGGCCAGCCTGAGATATATGAGACCCTGTCTCAAAAACAACAGAATTTTTTAAAAAAGAAGGAAAGGAAAAAAGAAGATTCTGGTATTATTACCAACCATTTAAACTTCTATCAATAGGTTTTATTTAAAACTTTAATATAGAGTGGTGTTGCAGGCTTGCCATCGCAACATCCAGAATATGGAGGCAGGAAGATGCTGAGGTCAACCTGAAATCAGAATGTATTCCAGGTCAGTCTGGGCCCCAAAGTGAGGCCTGGTCGCAAAAGAATAAATAAATTATAACATCCCACATTCTAAGGACACATAATGGGACACCAGGAAACCAAATTAGCAAAAGTACATGGATTATGAACATTCCCTCAGTAGCATCCCCTTCTACTCAACAGTCTTTCAACAAAAGATGAAGCTCCTTGAAAAATCTGGTATCATATTAATCCACTCGGTATTTACTAAGCAGGGGCTATGTGCCAAAGTGTTAGGCAGTATAAGAGGGCACAGATTTGTGTTACATGGTCCTCACTCTCAGAGAGTTTAGTGAGCAGGCTCAGTATTTACACAAGAAATGGAGGGGGTGACACAGACAGGACTACAAGTATTAAAAGGTTGCTGGGTGTGATGGTGCACGCCTTTAATCCCAGCACTCCGGAGGCAGAGGCAGGCAGATCTCTGTTGAGTTCAAGGCCAGCCTGGTCTACACAGTGAGTTCCAGGTCAGTTAGGGCACAGGGAGACCCTGTCTCAAAAAGATCCAAAAAAAAAAAAAAAAAAAAAAAAAAGTCACTTTCAGAAGAAGTGGTCTAAAAAAGACTTCACAGTGAGGTAGAGTTGGAACTAGACCCTTAAGTAACAGAGTTTTGATAGAAGCTGCTAGGAAACAAGAAAGCACAAAAAAATCAGAACAATATGAACTTATAGTTGGGGTTTAAATTTTTTTAGGTTTTATTACAAAAAAATCTAGACATGCAAAGTCAACAGACTAAGGGAATGCGCTGTGTGTGCACCACTGAGCTTCAGTATTCAGCAGCTCCTAACGATCTTCTTTAGACCTTAAATGTCATATTATTTGAAGACAAGTTCCCCTCAGAGACCAGTAAGAACTGAATGGCTGCGTATTAAATACCATGTGCTGTGTTTAGTTATTGTGTTCTCTGGTTGACTCCGGAAGAACCAGGAAACCAGCTAGGAGCCTGGTTTCCCAGTCTTCTACCCTGTCCACCATCCTCTCTCAAGATGACGTAAAAACTTTTTCTAGCTCAAAGCACGCTAGAAGGGATAGGCTCAGCATCCTGCTTTCAAGGAGCTTCCCTGTGCAGGTAAACCAAATAAAGAGAGCTGAGACAGAAGAAGTCCTTCAGGAGAATCAGATAGTAAACTATCAACCTTCTTAGAGTAGTCCCCCCATACCTGGTAGAGTTCATCATCATCAAACACAAGTAGTGTGCAGCCAATCTACCCAGCAAGACACTTTAACTATCCTTGTTTACAGACAGGGTGTCACGCTGTAGCCCAAGCTGGCCTCAAACTCACTGGTCTCTTGCCTCAGACTGCACAGTACTGGGATTGCAGGGTATGCCGCTGCCATGTGCAGCAGCACTTTCTCTTTGTCGACCACTGTTTTTCACTTTTTCAACCAACCTATGGTCTTTATACAGTACGGTAAAAACAGCAAGGCAGCTGTAAGGATTCAGCTGGGAGTCCTGCTGCAAGGGCAGCTCTAGATGAGTAGCTACCACTCTTGACAGCAGCACCTCTACCTTCATGTGTGAATCTTTCCACAGGAAAGCTCCATGCATGCTTGTGCTTCATACCACCTGCTGCTGAGACACCCTGCACTGTTGCTCAAGACTCCCAAATCAGTTTGTCCTCTTAAAACACAAGTGCAGCCACCAAACACTTAGCCCTTCTACTCCTCTGGAGTGCTCAGGTAGCTTTTTGATACCTCAGACTGTGAACGCATCATTTTAGATCGTCTTAAGTCATCTAGCCTTCTTTTCCTCTGTGAGGATGCAATGAGTTCTCGACTTACCATAACTACTGTGTATTTTTAGATACTACCCATTTCTTTTATTGTTTCCCTATGAATTATAGCTCAATTACAGTTGTGGCACTTCAGAGTTTGTCCAGTGCTCTTTAAATGTATCCACTGAATCCTTACAGCCTGTGAAAAAGGTAATTTCTCTATTTTATAGGTAAGGGAAAAGGAATGAAGAACTCACTTATCCAATTATAAACAGCTGCGTTCAGTTAGTGGCCCTCTGAACCAGGTCTTCCAACTCCAAACACCACTCTTCCCACTACACTAGAGAAAGTTTACACTTCTGCTCAAACCACATGTGTTTCAAACCATCTCTAGTCTCTAGACTGCAACCCGATTTCCCATCCCACACCTACAACCATCCATATCTTGTTTCCTCACCCTCCAATCAATCCTTCCTTAACTACACTTCACAGATATCGATCAACCAACCTTCCTTCTAGCACTCCTGCAAATATTCCACCTCTGCATGGAAAGGGAAACACCTCTTTGCCCCAAACTTGACACTCCCTCATCCGGATGCATTCGTCACCCCATAAACGACAAGCATGTACCTCAGTTCTTAACGAGCTACTTACTAACTTTAAAAGTCCCAGAGAAAGGGATGTAACTTGCAGATCCTCCATCTCCGGAACTGGCCCGGGACAGGAGCACACTTCAAATTCCTAAGAGCAGAGTACCAATCCTTATTTACAAAGACTCTGCCCATGCCCCACTGCTACCAACAGCTTCCTTTCCAGAATGTGGCCATCTAGACAGGCTCCCCTTTCAACTTCTTCCCTGGTGACTCCCTCCAGGGTGCCCAAGTCTCCCTCACTCCTGGGCCCTTGTCCACCTTACCAACTCCCCCAACTCCCGAGCTGCCTAGGCTGGAGCTGGGCCACAGCCCACCATGGAGGCGGGTGCTTCTCTCCCGCTCCTAAGAAGTTGTGCCTCTTATCACCTGTTCCTAGGAGAGCTTCCTCCCAGCCCAATGGTCTTTGCCCTGGCCCGCCTCCCTCCACCCTCTTCGGTTCCTCCTGCCCAGAAACCATCCCAAGTCAGTTCTGGGGTGCCTATGGGATTCAAGTTTCCATGCACAGGGATTCCCACCCCTCACCCCTGGGGTCAGGCTCCCTTTGCCATCACCTGCTCCGCCCAGGCCGATGACATCCGCTGCCGCCGCCGCCGCCTCCATCCCCCTTCCCTTGTCGGACACCGGGTCCCCCCATCTCCCACCGCATCTCCCCAGACACCCGCAGTCTCTCCAGGCCCAAACGCGGGGGGCGTGCACCGCCACCGCAGCCCCCACGCACCTGTTCCCGGCCCGGCCTCCCGAGCCCCGCACTCACCAGGAGTAGGTCTGCTCCGCCATGGCGCTGGCTGCCTCTCGGGGGCTCCCTGGCTAGGCTCGGGCCGGGAGCAGAAGGCGCGACCGCGGGTCCGGGAAGCTCGCTCCGCGGAAGGGGACGCGGCCGGACTCCGACAGGCTCCGTCCGGGCCCCGCTCCCAGGGCCCCGGGGCGGGGCGGGCTCCGCGTTTGGCCTCGCTCAGCCGCGGCGGCGGCGGCGGCTCCGCTGCGGCTCCAAACCCAACATGGCGGCGACGGCGGCGCGGAGAACAAGGGGCCCCGGGGCGGCGAACGGCAGCGTGGGCCCGCGTTCAGTAAGCGCAGGGCCGGCGGGCGGCGGCGGCGACGGCTGAGGGGGGCGCTAAGCGGAGAGGGAGGCCGCTCGGATCACACCCGCCGAGGGAGGAGGAGCCGGGCGGGGGCGCGCTGGGCCCGGTGGTCACGTGCCCAAAACACGCTCACGTGACGCGAGCCCCGCCCCTCGCGCCGGCCCATGCGCGGAAGGAGCACCAGGCTGGTTGCCAAGCGGCTGTTACCCGCCACCGGCCTCAGGCTGTTGGGCAGCTTTGGCTCGCAGCGGGGTGGGCTCCTTCCCCCAGCCAAGCGGTCGCCTTCCGAGCTGCCAGTCAGGAGCCCGGCGCGGTCAGCTTTCCTTGCCCTGTCTGCTGGTCCTCCACCTGTCAGCCAGTGGGTGGGCAGAGCGCTGCGTTCCTTGGTTCCTTCATTCATTGGTGCAAAAATCTCACGCAGCCCAGCCTTAATTGGGCTCAGGCCAAATCAAGTACCCCAGACTTGTCTGCATAGAAGCAATCAGTAGGGACTGGAGAGATGGCTCAATGGTTAAGAGCACTGGCTGCTCTTGCAGAGGACCTGGATGCGGTTCCCAGCACCCACAAGGCTGCTTACAACCGTCTGTAACTCCAATTCCAAGGGATCTGACGTCCTCTTCTGGCCTCAGAGGCAGAAGTGCACTTACGTATGCAGGCAATACACTCATACACATAAAATAAAAATAAAATATTTTTTTAAAAAATAACAGATGCTTGTTGGGTGCCAGGTAGGTATCAATCAACTCATTCACCTGGGTCCTTGTCCTGCAGGCGCATACATTCTAGAGTAGGAGGTACAGTTTAAGCCGACCAAGAAAGAAAGATCAAAGACATATTTTATTAAGTTCTTTTTGTTGTTTATTTTTGAGACAGGGTCTCACCATGTAGCACTGGTTGGCCTGGAACTCACTATGTAGACCAGGTTGGTCTCCAACTCACAGAACTCCACCTTCTTCTGCCTCCTGAGTGCTGGGGTAAAAGTTTTATGACATTCTTAATAGAGTAATGAGAGAGTAAAGTAGAGGTGTAGCTTCTTTAGATCAGGTGGGTGGGCATGGACCCAGGATGTAGCTGGTAGAGTGCATACCTAGGACAAAGCCCTGGGCTCCATCAGCAGCACCACATGAAACTGGGTGTGGTGGTGTACACCAGTAATCTCAGCACTTGGAAAGTAGAAACAGTTGGATAAGAAGTTCAAGGCAATCCGCAGCTATGTAGTGAGTTTGAGGCCAGCCTTGTCTATGTGAGATCATCTAAAAAAAAAAAAAAAGATGTGGAAAAAAGTGCAAAGCATATTTCTAAGTGACAAAAACCCTATTTGAGAAAGCTTCATAATGTATGCTTCTGACCACATTCTGGAGAAATAACTATGGAAACAAGAAAAAGATCCCTGGTCATTGGGCTGAGGCAATGAATAGGTATGACATAGGTGTTTTTTGTTTTGTTTTGAGACAGGGACTCTGTGTAGCCCCAGCTAGCCTGGAACTCACTGTGTAGACCAGGCTGGCCTCAATTTCACAGAAGATCTTCCTGCATCTGCCTTCCAAGTGCTGGGACTAAATGGGTGTGTCACTACACCTGGCTTTTTTTTTTTTTAACATATAGGATTTTTAAGACAACAAAACTAGTTTGAATAACACTGTAATCCCTGTATTGGGGAAGTGGAGGTAGGAGGATCAGAAGATCAAGTCATCCTAGGCTACATAGGGAATTTGATATAGGGAGTTTGACACAGGGAATTTGAGGCCAGCCTCAGCTACATGAAAACCTGTTGAAAGAAACAGAGACAAAGAAACAGAGAAAGATGAAAAGAACCCCAGAGAAAACATAATATACCCAAGAGTAACTGAGGGAGTCTAGGGCTTATTGGAAAGCAGGATGGGGAATGGACAGAAATGAGACAGGCTAAAACCATGAGAGACTTAGCAAGGGAAAAATCATTTTAGCAAGAGAGTGGCACCAAGCAAGATCTAAAGATGGAAATATGTGTGAGTATCTTGGACCCAGGTATGGGATGGATGATCTATGTTACTTAGGCTGTTGAGAGAAGACACTGAAAGGGTTCATGGAGGCCAGGCTTTGAAGGATCTGGTTAAACTTCCCTCTCAGTTATTGGGCTTGTCAATAAAAAGCTCAGGTTTTAGAAACATGCTTGGCCAACAGATATACTACCCCTCCTGGAAGTCCCCCTCTTCCTCACAGCAAAGCTCACACACCTGAAACCTGCATATCCAGCATCCTCTGCAGCTTGCCCAATGTTAGGCTAGGCTCTAGCTCTACTCCAGTTTCCCAGGGCCTGCCCAGGCTTACAGGGAACACCACACCCTGAATCTATCTTCAATTGGATCAGTTGGCCATTGCCCATACAACTGCTGCTTACTTGTTCCTCAAGGGGAACCCTTTCGTGAGAAGGCCAAGTACACTTTTCCTCCAGAAGTAGAGCTTTCCTTCTTCCTCCTTCCTCCACTGGCAGGTGCCAGTACCTGTCAGATTCAAGGTGTCACCTCCCAAGCTGTACCAGAGAGCCCTTGGAAAGGACCAGCTGATAGGATCAAGGTGTTGGGGGGGGGTTGGCAAGGCCCCAGGAAAATACCCTTCCTCTAACCACTCACAGAAGGGTGCTAGCCTGTGTCTGCCAGCTATGAAACCTACAGGTGTCATAAAGAGGCAAGAAAGCAAAGATCCTAAATTCTCGACATTGGTGGACTGTAATAGCTCTGCCAGGTACATTTACAAAAAGCCAGTAGTGACCTTAAATGTGACAGTCATCCTGAATCTACCAACGAGTCTGAGGTTTTAGGTCTCATGGGAACTGGAGGTGGCTTTGGGAGGTACCGAAGCTCTTTCTCTGGGGATCTAAGAACAAAACAGACCACAGACTGTCGCTAATGAAACAAAAATGACAAGCGGTGCCTTGGGGCAATTCTCCTGGGCTTTGATTCCCAGTGAGTCACAGAAGACTAAGCTGAGTGAGAAGCTGGTATGAGGTGAATGGAACAGGAGTGGCTGAGAAAAGAAGCCAAGGTCTGACCAGAAGTAGAGTCTATGCTAGGTAGTTAGGGGAAAAAAATCTGGTGACAGAAAGGGAGAAGGGGGCTTGGTGATGTAGGATAGAAATCTAAACCAGAGGCTCCCAAAATGTCTCTCAGGAAAGCACATGAATGCAGACCAAAGGTGGTGGGGCTGGGAGGGTGTCCAGGCCACAGTGATCCCATGTGCATGCTCCCTAGAGATGAAGAGAGGGCCCAGGGCCTGGTGACTTGAACTTCTTAGGCTAAGATTGTCAAGATGTAGAAGTTATCTCCAGATCATGGTCAAGCTTACAGTCACCTGGGAAGGCCAGACTAGAATAAACCAGAAACCTAAGGGTTGTCTGGAAGCTGCACAGCCTGTGGAACTCAAGAAGTGACTTTCAATGCATGTGCCAGCACTCAGTTTCGAGCTAGAGCAGCCCCATGTGTATCTATGCATCTCTGGGTCTCAGCCAGGGAGTCAGATATGTTTGGCAGGGGTTCAGGTGTTGGCTATCCCCCAGGAGAGGCGCCTGATTCTCTTCCTCCCCCACCCCAGGTGAGAGGGCCACAGCTTGGGTAATGTTTGTTGAAAGAAGCCATGAAAGTGCCTCTAATTATCACCACGGTAATTATAGGATGGTTCCATCTACTGAGTGTGTTCAAAAGAGACTTGGAGAGCCTCCTCAGGACGAGTCATCTGCCTTAGGCACAGACTCCAGGGAGGAAGCATTGCTAGGTCTCACTTAGGCATGCTTCTAAGATGGTTAAAGGCCTTCCCTGTCCTCCCAGCGCACCTCTCGCTTCTGTCCTCCTTCCTCTGTACACACATGGAGGGGGACATGGAGCTCCTTGGGGACATGGAGCTCCTTAGGGACCTGCCTGCCACTTCTCAATGGCCTGGGCATTCTCTTTTGCTTTCATATCTGTGACCAAGGCCAGAAGACACCTTCATTGTGCCTTCTCTCTTCCTTTCCCTCTTTCCTTCCTTCCTTCCTTCCTTCCTTCCTTCCTTCATTCCTTCCTTCCTTCCTTCTTCCTTTTCTTTCTTTTTAATGATTATTTGCTGCTCAGGGGATGGGACTCAGGGTAACATACATACTAAGCAAGCCCTCTGCTACTGAGCTACACTTCCACTGCTTCTTACTTGGGTTTTGGCTATCATGTCGCCCACTTGATCAAAGTTAACCTAGATTAGATACTCTTCTTCCAAGATCCCACAAAACCCTGAATTTACTCATCTCATAACACTCAGCACCATGAACTGTCAATGCCTGGTTACTTAATATTCTCTCCCTAAGCTTGTGAATGCCTCATGGGAAGGAATTGGGTCTGGTTGCCAGTTAAGTCCCCAGTGCTTAGCACAGGACTTAGTTCAGAAGAGAAGCTCAAAATCTGTGGAACTGAATGCTTGAGTGAGGGAGAAAGAGAACTAAAATTCAGAATATCTAGTCCCTGTAACTCCCTCCTAAGAAAGGCAATCCTGAAAGACAAAGAAATATTTATGTTAGTTACATTGTGGGTAACAGAGATTAGAAGTAAGATATGTGGTGGCATGAAGTCACATTCACTTGTACTCTTTGTTTTGTTATTTTTTGGGGGGGGCTCTTTTTGAAACAGGGTCTCCCTGTAGACCAGGCTGGCCTTGAACTCACAAATGCTGGGACTACAGGTGTGCCCCACCATGCCTGGCTCTGTTTTGTTTTTTGAGTACAGTTTCCTATAGCCCAAATGTTCTGTACAGTCTAGAGAAGGATATGCAATATCCATATATTCCATTTTGATTGAGTGAGTTTATTAAGTTCACAGCAAGCCAAAGTAAAAGGATAAATAGCAAGTGATAGATAGATGATAGATAGATGATTAGATGATAGATGATAGATAGATAGATAGATGATTAGATGATTAGATGATAGATAGATAGATGATAGATCGATAGATGATAGATAGATAGATGATTAGATGATGATG